TCAATCGTGATCTAAATAAGATTACTTTGTGATTAAAACGATGTAAATAGTTTTAAGTTAGTATGACCATTTTTTGTTTTATCTTGTACTGTATGTTTGAATTTCTTACAAGTATATCAACGTATCACAGTGTAAAATGAGAATGATATGAAAAGTTCTATTCCAAATTATCATACCTAGATGTAACCAATACAGACCATGATTTACTTACACTCCTAAGTTGTATGTTGTTCTGATGATATATATAGGTTGCAGCTTTGTTATTGATAAATCTGAATTCACATAAGGCATTAGTGTTTAGGTGTCAGTTAACATGTGACATAGCTATATTTTAGAATTATACTTTTAATTTAGTTGCCGTTAACAACTATTATTATTATATAGTTAAGATCATGAGTCAATTGAAGCTAGATCACCATGGAAAACCTGGAAGCACAGGATGGCCGTTTCTTCTTATTGTGGGACTCGTCAGAAATGCGCATCCATGATCCCGCCTCTCGGGATTCGAACCCAGGACCTAACAGTCTCGCGTCAGCGCACTTAACCGATAGACCACTGAGCCGGTATCCAACGGTGTTAATGTCTAACCTCAACCAATCCACGAAATTGGGCGACCATCTTCCATTGTACTGAGATAGATACTTGTCTCTACCTGACATGGATTAGCTCCACTGATCACTACCATATGCTTACTAGTGACTGGCTCCATGGGGTAATTCCTGGTGTTCTACTAAGAAGTCTCATGATCTTAACTATATAATATTACTAAAATCTCCACAAAAACCCCATTCTGATAACTATTATTATTGTTTAGCACATATTATTTATAATACATTTTAAGGAATGATCCATAATTGATTTAAGTTTATGCTGATTATTTCAATTGTTCTTGTGTTTATCAGTGATTAGACTAAGTTACTAGATGTATCTTTTTTGTGATGTAGCATCTGAAATAACTTACTTACTGGTTAGCGTTTTTTTATCGAGTTGGTTTTCTACAGGATGCGGTCGCTAACCCCATGCCCTCCTCCTTTACCCGGGCTTGAAACCGGCAGCAGCCCTAGGAGGAGCTACAGGCAGAGTTAACATCTGAAGTAAATATATCAGTCGGTCAGTTACAACGTAGGATCATGTACATATATATGAATCGATTCAAGTTGCCACACCTCATCAACACAACAAGATGAACACCGAATTTGTAGAACTAGTTACTTGAGTAGTAGTATTATATGAAACAAAGATTATGTATAAGGATATAATACAACAAGAAAGAATTAGTTCGTTGGAAGAGAGGTATAAAGTAATTTTAATCTGACGGTTTGAGGGAAGACAGAGAGTGGATACACATACGCCATTGTGATCGTTTCTCAGCCATGTTACCCAGAGTCTCGAACCATTGTTTACGATAGTCGCACAGACCCTATTAGTATATGTGAATTGAGATCATTTTAAATGAACCAGGTTTTATAAACACATGCATGACAATGATGACAGATCTCCCTAAGCTATGGTATGATCGATCAATACCTAGTGGTCTAATAACTTGAAGCTCATTATGAGACCTGAATGTTTCATATTCAAATCTTGGATGTAAATTTGTGGTCAGTCCAATACTAAGAAGAATTAGTTGTTCATCTAAACGCGATGGCATTTGAAGCGAAAGGTACTGGGTTCGAGTACTACAGTGAACGTCAACTCTGAGATGCAGGTACATCCAGCTGAAGAGTCTTAAATAGGACGAAACACGCATCAAACTGGATTCCACTACTGGCCAATATCCATCTTTGCTTACAGTTATTCATCTCGTACTTTCTGGTTTTCAATAGCTATTCTTTTAAGTTTCATGCAGTTTAGATTAACCTCCGCACACATATATAATATGAATTTCGAAACGTCAATTACAAATAAACCTTTTACTCAGAAGGGGTTTTTCTGGAGACTTCAGTAGTTTTATAATTGAAATTATGAGTCAATTGAAGCTAGAACACCATGGAAATCCTGAAAGCACTGGATGACCGTTTCGTCCTATTATGGAACTCCTCAGCAGTACGCATCCACGATCCCGCACTCGCGAGGTTCGAACCCAGGACCTACCAGTCTCGAGCCAGAGTACTTAACCGATAAACCACTGATCCAGCATCCAACGGTGTTAATGTCTAACTGTTCAACTGATCCACGAAGTTGAGCAACCGTTCACCAATTGTCTTCAGTTAGTTCCTATCTCACAATAGGACGAGACAGCCGTCCAGTGCTTCCAGGTTTTCTTTGGTGATCTAACTTCAATTGACTCATGGTTTAAACCTTTTACTCAAATACCAGTTTTATACAACAACAAGAGTCGACCATTTTTTAAACTCAACAAATAAACTTAAGTATCTAATCGATGTCATTACAACCGAAGAAATGGAATAAGAACAAATAGTAACAATGATTTGATGAGATAATTGATTCCTTTTTAATCTATCATTGATTTTGTACTTCTAATTGAATAGCTCCACCACATAAACTCATTCTTCAACTTGATCTTCTCTTTTTTTCTTCTGATTTGTGACATTTAGATCATCAAATTTAATCTTTGTCTCTCTCTCCTTCTTTCTTTCTCTCTCCCTCGCTCTCTGTGTGTGTCTTCGTCGTCTTCTTCTTCTTCTACTGTTCTTATTCATTACACATATAGAATCATTCAAGCGTTCAATGTCATTATTTACTAATAATACTTATTATTAATAAAAGAAATGGTTTATAAATGGCGGTAAAATGAAATCACTATGATCTATTCAATGTTCTTTTTTTTTTGGAAATGTATCATTATTTAAGAAGATTTTCATCATAGTAATAGGGATGGTAGATTTGTTATGTCAAGTGTTGTTGTTGTTGTTGTTGTTGTTGTTGTGTTAATTTATCCCCCTTGAATAGTAAAGATGAATTAAGATGTGTCCATTGATAAAGTTAGAAAAAAAACAACAACATCGAAGGGTATTCACATTTTGTTATGTTCATGTCAGATAGGTTTTTTTTTTTTTTAGATTGTGGATGAAATGATTTCGAGTGCTTTTAGATATATGAAGGTGGTTGACACTTGTCTGTTGTTTAAATAATGTAACGATACTTCTTCTAAAAGTACCTGGAAGGCAAATTGGGTGAGGGATATGATTAACAACCTAGAAGTGACTGAAGAACCCGAATGACTGTGACTTGATACCTGTCATACGACATTTGTGTGAGTAGTTTTGAAAATATATTACCTCTATAATTTAAAGCCCTTACCTCTTCTGGTTGGAACCCTTCAAAAAAAGCAAGATGTACTGTCATTACATCCGACTATTCCTAACTCATTCTTTGTATTGTGAGAAGACAGAATCTCTGCAGACTTTGGTTATTTGAGGGAAACACCTTATTGTTGTTGTACTGCAGTACAGTTAGCAGTATGATTGCTAAGGGATGTTAAGTTTTTGCTTTTAGAGTTACTGTCCTCAAATCTATTTATCTGTCTTGGTATGATATTAAGTAACGTATGTTCCAAACAACATAGCTCAACTGAATGATTGTGTTTAGAAACCATCAAGATAAAGTGACAATTATGGTTTGGTTTTGCTAATGTGCTATGTAGTGGTAGTGTAGGATATGTAACATATACTATGTTGACCATGACTAACTAGTCAACTGACATCCAACCAACAAATCATGGACAGAATGAAACCAGTGGACAGTGGAACCGGTAAATAGAGCTATCTAAGAACTCGTTACCGTAACACGAAAGATTTACTTTGTCATTAAATCCTAACTTGTATGAAACTTAGGTCTATAATTTTCTATGTTCAACTACTTAACATCATGTTTATTGATAAGATATGATTTTGGGAATCGATTTCAGTGAATCAATTGAAACACATTATCTGAACACAAGAATCAAAATGGATGCTTTGAAATCTTTCGAAATAACGATTACACTCGATACTTCCAATCTTCAATGTGCTGAGATTGTTACTATTTAGTTATTGAAGAAAATCGTTAACGAACTAGAAATCATTGTTTGGTATTTAAGCATCATTACGTATCAGTTTTTAGCTGTGTACTTCAATTAACAACATCACAATCTCATCAGTTCATATAAAAATTTTCTGATATTCCATAAACTTTATTTCTTAATTATCTTTAATTATAAGGTTAGAATCATGAGTCAATCGACGTTAGACCACCATGGAAAACCTGGAAGTACTGGAAGGTCATTTAGTCCTATTGTGGGACTCCTCAGCGGTGTGCATCCACGATCCAGCCTCACGAGATTCAAGCCCAGGACCTATCTGTCTCGCGCGCAAACGCTTAACTTCTAGACCACTGAGCAGGCCGGCATCCAACGGTGTTAATGTCTAACTTTAACCAATCTATGAAATTGGGCAACCGTTCGCTATTGTCTTCGGTGATTTACTATCTCACAACAGACCCAGTTGAGCTCTTTAATTGATCAATCCTATGAAATTATTTACTTAATCATTCTTCTATACTTGAAACTCCTTATATTAATCAGTTAGCTGAGCTTTTACAAATTAAAATACATTCAACTTTATTTTTTAAACAATTTAAACCTAGTGTGATATTTCCTACTGATATCGACAGATATAGGTAGCATATATCAGCAATAGAAAGTGAAATGACTAGAGGCAGAAGGTTAGTATGGTCGAAGAGAAGACAACGAGAACAGAGAGTGATTGGTGTAGAAACGAAAGAATAATCCAATTTGAGATGATTGATTGGTTCTCAAATTTGACTAAGGCATTCTATAATTATGTGTTCAAATACATTCAGTTGTCCTACTTGTTTGTTCTCATTCATTGCACTAGCACTGTACAATTGTCCAACATTCCTTTTCCTTGAATAGTACTTCAGATGACGTCATCTATTTATTAATCTTGAACAATAACCAGTTGTAGTTAGCATGTGTATATATAAAGTATTCATTTGTGTATGTTTCTTCTCTGTTCCCCCTTTTCAACATTCTCAAGGTATCATCCATAAATCGTGTATTACGCAATGTCTGTAATGATAATCAACTACCTCTTTCATTAGGATCAACTATTTCACAAAATGAACATCATAACAGTAATCATACTAATAATGCTAATCATACATTGAATTCTCTCATGAATATACAAACCATGCAGTCCCATGAACATTTACTACATCATGCTCATACACAAAATAATCCATTCAATTCACCGCTGAATCGAATGCCAATGGTTGATTTTCAATCTACTCATCTTAATCGTCTTATGAATCATTCTAACTTAAATAAACGAAATTATCCACTGCAATTAACTGTAAATCAAGTATCCCGTGAATTAAATATATCACCTCGATCACCACAAATTTCACCGCCTCGATTTAATCATCCACAAACAGCAGCATTTACTGCAGCAGCCGCTGTAGCAGCTGTTCAACAAAATTATCCACAAACTTCAACTATATATGATTCAATTGCATATCAAAATCGTTTATTTGAAATGAATGGTATTAGTGCTATCACTACGACGACTACGACTACTACTACCACCACTATTACAGCTAGTAACAATAGTAGTATTAGTGATGTATCTTCAACATTCCAATCATCAACTAACATGTATGATACATTTTCCAATTTCTTACATCATACCAATTGGCCATCATGGTATAATACATCATCAGCAGCATCATCATTAACATCAGAAACTACTGGCAATCATACATCATCTATTCCTGTGGATACAAACATGAATATAAGAAATTATACCAATAATGGTGGTAATAGTAATTGTTTAACAGAAGCTGATGAAGTCACAGAACATTTAAATTATTGTAGTTTACCGAATTTCCATTTATCGAATGGTATAGATTGTGTTCAATTTCATCAATCCAATACAGAATTGAATAAAAGTAATAGTAAGGATAATACTACTAATAATAGTACTACTACTAATAGTAATAATAATAATAATAATAATAATAATGAAGAACATATTTCGAATGGTTCTCATCACTCTTTATTATTATCAATGAATTTGCATAATAGGAATGTTTGTGAATTGAAAAAACCAGATCATTTATTACATCAAATGAAGCAGCAACAACAAGAAGAACAACAACGACGACAACAGCAAGGACAACAGGAACAATCCCTTATAAAGAATAATTATGGTAACGATGACGATGATGACGATGATGATAAACATAGTGAATTCAATTTACTTATGAGAAATTCATCAAAATTATATGAATGTTTAGATTCAGAAATTGAATTCCCTCAAGAGAATAATCATAATAATCCTTTAAATCATATTCCAATAGAATTGAAAAAGAAGGAGATAACAAGATCAGGTAAGATTGAAGATAAAGACGATATCAGTAGGATGAAACGGCCATCCAGTGCTTCCAGGTTTTCCATGGTGGTCTAGCTTCATTTGACTCATGATTTCAACTATATAAAAGTAGTATAAGAGAAGATGGACAGTGGCTAGTAGTGGAATCCAGGACACACGTTTCATCCTAATTGGAACTCGTCAGCTGGATGTACCTGCTTCTCAGAGTTGATGTTCACTCTGGGACTCGAACCCATTAACTTTCACTTCAAACACCATCACGTTAACCACTCAGCTACTGAGTCCTCATAGTCACTTGCATATGCAATAGGGGGAGGTTTAAATTCACTTGGTATTGTTTGTTTGAATTTTTCCATTGATGTTTTAGGACTTCAACTGATAAGTCTCTTATTGGCAAATGTGTATACAGTCCAAAGCATCAATGGGAAGATTCAAACAAACAATGTACGTACGTACGTACGTACGCATGTTACTCCCAATGGAGCATAGGCCGCCGACCAGCATTCTCCAACCCACTCTGTCATGGGCCTTCTTTTCTAGTTCTATCCAGTTCTTGTTCATTCTTCTCATATCTGTTTCCATTTCTCGGTGTAATGTGTACTTTGATCATCCTCTTCTCACTTGACCTTCAGGATTCCATGTGAGGGCTTGTCTTGTGACACAATTAGGTGATTTCCTCAAGGTGTGCCCAATCCACTTCCAGCGTTTCTTCCTGATTTCTTCCTCCACTGGATGTAATCTGGTTTGTTCTCTCCCACAGTAACTTATTACTGATAGTGTCTGGCCATCGGATCCGAAGTATCTTGCGTAGACAACTGTTAATAAACAATTGTATCTTCTGGATGATGGCTTTCGTAGTTCTCCACGTCTCCGCGCCGTACAATAGAACTGTCTTCACATTTGTATTGAAAATTCTAGCCTTGGTGTTGGTTGACAATTGTTTTGAGTTCCAGATGCTTTTCAGTTGTAAGTATGCTGCTCTTGCTTTGCCGATCCTCGCCCTCACATCTGCATCTGATCCACCGTGTTCATCAATGATGCTGCCCAGATATGTAAAGGTTTCCACATCCTGCAAAGCTTCTCCGTCAAGTGTCATTTGATTGGTGTATATTGTATTGTATCGGAGAGTCTTGCATTTCTCTTTGTTTATATTGAGACCTACTGCTGCTGAGGCTGCTGCTACACTGGTCGTCTTCTTCTGCATTTGTTGTTGCGTCCAGGAAACCCTGGACCCGGGTTTCGTGCTACTTGGCACTCGTCAGCAAGGTGTACCTGTAATCTTGAGGGAACTGATGCTCCCTGGCGGATTCGATCCCGCGTCACTCAGCTTCACAGTCAGAGACGTTACCACTGAGCTATTCGGGCCGCGACCGACCTCCTGTAGGACTGAGATCTAATCACAATTGATTGATCACTGGGTGGTGATCAATCTCATGCGTGTCAGGTCCTTAGTGCTGATCGAATGCTATCGATCAAGTTGCAATGTGGCCACCAGTCTAGGTGGCTCGACACTGCGGGCACTATATATATTAGGGTAACATGGTGGTTGGAGGTGGTCAACAGACGAAACCCGGGTCCAGGGTTTCCTGTTGACCACCTCCAACCACCATGTTACCCTAATATATATAGTGCCCGCAGTGTCGAGCCACCTAGACTGGTGGCCACATTGCAACTTGATCGATAGCATTCGATCAGCACTAAGGACCTGACACGCATGAGATTGATCACCACCCAGTGATCAATCAATTGTGAGTAAGCAACCTTGCCTAACACCGGTCTTTACCTCGAATGAGTCGGTGAGTTGTCCTCCGTGGACGATTTGGCAGTTTAGTCCATCATGGGAATTCTTTATGATATTGACTATCTTCTCAGGCACGCCGTAGTGTCGAAGAAGCTTCCATAGTGTCGTCCTGTCCACGCTATCAAATGTCTTCTCGTAGTAGATGAAATTGATGTAGAGTGATGAATTCCATTCGATTGATTGTTCCACAATGATACGTAGAGTTGCAATTTGATCTGTGCACGATCTATCCTTACGAAATCCAGCTTGTTGATCTCGAAGTTGTGCGTCCACGGAATCCTTCATCCTGTTTAACAATACTCGGTTGAAGACTTTTCCTGGTATTGAGAGGAGAGTGATGCCCCTGTAGTTATCGCACTTGCTCAGATCGCCTTTCTTTGGTATCTTGATCAGAAGTTCTTTTTTCCAGTCTGTTGGTACTTGTTCTTCGTCCCAAATCTTACTGAAGACGATGTGGAATGTCTTGGCAGTTGCTGCTACATTTGCTTTCAGTGCATCTGCCGGGATGTTGTCTGGTCCCGCTGCTTTGCCGCTCTTGACTTGTCTAATGACCATGCTGATCTCCTTAATTGTTGGTGGGCCAATATCGATTGGGAGGTCCGTGGGTGCTGCTTCGATGTTGGGTGGGTTCAGTGGAGCTGGTCGATTCAAGAGTTCCTTGAAGTGTTCTACCCACCTGTTTCGTTGTTCTTCAATGTCGGTGATTACATTGCCTTCCTTGCTCTTCACTGGTCTTTCTGGTTTACGGTAATTTCCAGCAAGTTTCTTGGTTGCATCATACAGTTGTCTCATGTTTCCTTCTCTTGCAGCCTTTTCCGCTGTCGTTGCTAAATCTTCCACATATTTACGTTTGTCGGTTCTGATGCTCCTCTTCACTTGCTTGTTTGCCTCTGTGTATTCGGCTTGTGCCTTGGTTTTTCCGCTCTGGTTCGGCCGGTGTTGATTGCTGCCTTCTTGTTCCTCCTTGCTTCAATCTTATCCAGTGTACCAACAGTAATCCATTCCTTGTGATGGTGCTTCTTTTGGCCCAGAACCTCTTGACACGTTGAAACGATTGCCTCCTTGATACCTTTCCAGTTGCTCTCCATGGTAGTTCCCTCTCCATTGAGTAGATCATGAAAGGCCTGGAACCTGTTGCTGAGGGTTATGTTGAATTTGTTGAGTTTGTCAGCATCTCGAAGAAAGGCCGTATTAAACTTTTGTGATGTTGTCCGAGCCGTTATCCACTGCTTCCTAAGTTTTAGTTTCATCTTGGCGACCAGCAAATGGTGATCGGATGCTATATCAGCTCCTCTTCTGGTTCTCACATCCTCCATCGTCCTCCTGAACGTTTTGTTGGTGAAGATATGGTCGATTTAATTCTGTGTAGTGTGATCCGGTGAAATCCAAGTGGCTTTGTGTATGTTTTTGTGTGGGAATATGGTGCCACCTATGACCAGTTTATTGAAGGCACATAGGTTTGCAAATCTCTCACCATTTTCGTTTCTTTCTCCCAGTCCATGTTGTCCCATGACGTCTTCGTATCCAGTGTTGTCCATTCCAACCTTAGCATTGAGCTCTCCCATCAGAATGGTCAGATCCTTGGTTGGGCACTTCTCAACGATCGACTGCAACCTGTCGTAGAATTAGTCTTTAGCGTCTTCATCGTAGTCGTTGGTCGGAGCATAGCACTGGATGATGTTCAATGTAATGCCCTCCCTCTTTGTTTTGAAGGAGGCTTTGATGATCCTTTGTCCATGAGATTCCCATCCAATTAGTGCATTTTGTGCTTTTCTGGACAGCATCAATGCAACTCCTTGTGTATGTGGGGCGTTTTCTTCTTCATGACCGGAGTATAACAGAAGTTCTCCTGAAGACAGTCGTTGTTGTCCAACTTGCGTCCAATGTGTTTCGCTGATTCCAAGAACCTCCAGGTTGTATTTTCTCATTTCTGCGGCAATTTGGAAAACTCTTCCGGTCTCCCACATTGTTCGGACATTCCATGTACCTATAAAAATTGTCGCTCTGGTTGTAAGAAGGTGCATCGGCCTCATGACTTCCGAAAGAACTCGGCTTTCATTATGAGACGTCATAGTTATTCCTTCAACTGGGAGGGCAGAGTTTGAAAGGTTTGAATGATTCTTTCTGGTTGGCGTTTTTTTAGCGAGTTGATTTTCTACGGGATGGGGTCGGTAACCCCATGCCCAACCCTCCTCCTTTACCCGGGCTTGGGACCGGCAGTAACCCCCAGAGGAACTACAGGCGGAGCTTCTCGGCTCTCTGAGCTAAGATCATGTGTAGTATCAAAAACAATCAAAACTAAGTGTATATTAAAGTTGTATTATTTATTTAGATTATGATGATTGATCACTGAATGATGAATAATGTGGATATTTATCTCCTGAAGGATTAGATCTAACCATCTAACATTAAAAAAACATAGTATTAGCGATATTGAGTTATTTAGAGTCCATCAAGAACATCATAACTTAAATAATAGATATTGAATAGCACCATGGAAATAAGTAAATTTTTGACATTAGTAACTATTCAGTGGTCAATCAATTTATATATAGTTGAATTCATGAGTCAATTGAAGATAGACCACCATGGTAAACGTGGGAGCACTGAACGGTCTGTTTTGCGACTCCTCAACAGTGCGCATCTACGATCTCGCCTTGCGAGACTCGAACCCAGGGTCTATCAGTCTCGTTCCAGAGTGCTTAAGCTCTAGATCACCGAGCCGGCATCCAACAATGTTAATGTCTAACTTCATTAACATCAACACCATTGGGTGCCGGCTAAGTTGTTTAGAGGTTAAGCATTCACGCGCGAGATCGAGGATTATGTGTTCGGATCCTGAGTGCGGTATAATTGATGCGCACTACTAAGGAGTCCCGTACTAAGACGAAACGACCTTCTAGTAATCCCAGGTTTTTTATGGTGGACTCGTGAATTCAACTACTAAAAAATTACTACAATTTACAAAAACCCCATTCTAATAAGCATATAGTTGTCATCAGTAAATACATTGTTATTATTGGCGGCCTGTTTAAACATCTGGGCTACCTGTTCCTGTCATCTACATATTTCAACAAGTTATCTGATTTCGTTTGTTTTAATACATCACTATGCCTATTAATCGCACAACCTATTCAGGTGCGTTTCTGAAAAGTGTAAAACCTTTCGCTGTAAAGGTTACAGAAGGCTTAATCAGACATATCGTGGTTGCTGGCATTATGCAGCGACAAGAATGTACATTATCCAGATGTCGATTGACTGGGCTGCTAAGTTCTAACTGGCGATCACTCAATATTCATCGTCAGGAAGGACGAAGAAGTAAGAAACGGAAACTTGTTGAAGTAATTTGTGCTGAGAATTCTATATTGTACCAAAAATATAATACTGAATAAAGCTAATAATAATAATAATAATTATTATTATAATTAATTTATGGTAACATAAATCGATTTTGTCTTAAAACCCCCATGAATACGTCTTCATAAGAGCTTTGGTATTATAGACCCCCACTTGAATATTATCCAGTATAATGACATATAATCAACACTAAAGATCAGGTCTAATCAGATCGCTACCGAATTTCCAGAAACCTAATGGATTTTTTCGATCCTAGCTAGCCATAGAAAGCTTTTCTATTTTCTTTCTGAAGCCAAAATAAATTTTAACGTTTTTGGATTCAGTACTTTTGTGATTGGAAGACTCGATCGTCAATGTTACTACCTTCTCGTAGCGGGAGTGTTGTTTACGAAATTAGAAGGACGAAAAGCGAATGTCCGGCACTTTAACCGGATTGGTGGATACAGAAAGTCCACCTAGGGGAGTTGGAAAACCGTGATTTCAAACCAATAGTGCACATGGTCTCCAGTATCCTGGGGGAAAAAATGGCGTATGAATCAATCTTTGGTCACTGGCTACCATGGGACTGCATCTCCTCACGATGTTCCACTGCCTTGTGGATCAGACATTTAGGTTGAAGGCTCTGGATGTGGCCTCCTAAGAAAACCATCTGCTTCGGTTTGGGCACCCGAGCAGTATCACAGCCCTCATACAAATCAAATGAGATTTGTATGGCGCATATGTATCTGGTGCTTCATTGTACCAATATTTATGTGTTTAAATAAATAATGTTACTGGAACGATTAAGTCAGCTAATTCGAAGCCTAATATTTTTATATTTATTTCTTTATTATACAGATCCAATAATCCATTCAACAATGGAACATCAATTAGATCAATCAAGACTAAATCTAGAATCATTCACAGTAATGAATTCACCTAATCAAACTTTTTTACAACAAAAAGCTCAGTGTACTAAACAACAACTTTCAAACTCACACTACAATTCAGTTGGTACTACTATGACTACTACTGATAATATTAATAGTAGTAGTCGTAGTAGTAATAGTAGTACTCCTATTACTACCATTACCATTAGTCCTACTAATGATCTAGTTAAAATATGTTCAACCCCTATGGAAATATTAATGAAAACTTATGGTAGTAAAGATAATTTTTCAAAATTATCATCGAAACAGAATTTATTACAATTTACTAATCATTCACATTCACAACCACCACTACCACCACAGCAACACCAGCAACATAATACTAATAACTATTCAGAAATCAATCATACACTAATTAATTCCTTAACATCAACATCAATCATGAATTCAATGGATCATTATCATCATAATCAACATAAAATAGATGAAAAATTAAATGATACTAAAAAACCAGGAAGAAATAGAACAACTTTTACACCGGAACAATTAGAGATACTTGAAGAAGGTAGATCTATTTCATATATATGTATCTAAGTGAATTGTTATGTTTAGGGTATATAAATCTCCTCTTCTCCTTAAAATGCTTCTGTAAGGATGGCTCGTTGGCAAACTGAAGGAAGCCTTCAGAAGCCCAGAAAGAGCCGAAGACATTCTGTCCAATCACCGCTAGCGGAACATTCTAGAATGTCGATGTGTAACTTCTCTATTGGATGAATAGGAAGGGTACCCTATATGTTTATTGGCTATCCGAAATGATACTTTACTTTCAGCCAAAAAAAGCTATAAATACATGAGATTTTTGTATTAAATTTTGACAATGTGTTGTCTTTTGTCTTCTCTCTTGTGACGTTGCGGGTTCAATCGTTCAAGTAGTCTAGTAGTGTGCGGCATAACAATAATCTAAAGCTCTAGATATAACAGATTCCTATTTATGCCAATACAATCGTATAGATTGCTTAAAACATTCATGGAAGTTCTTAAAAGTGATTTTAATAATATCAATGTCAAATTAACCTTTAAGGCAAGAAATTGACAATTTGTCTGTAATATTTGTCACAGTTTGACCTCAGTCCGAGCACCACGCCCCCCTTCCAGCCATAGGAACATGGTGAAGCCTAGTAGGCCCTTCTGGAGAAGAATGCTACATCGAAGCACGGTACAACTACCGGGGCTCGATAGCCGTTTTTGCGTTGCTTACGCAGAATCATTACATCATTCTTTCTTTCTTTTCTGTATCTCTTTGGGGCAGACTCCTTCATTCTTTCTTTTTGAACTAACAATAATTAGGTAGTGATTCTTTGTAGCTTTCGTAGTCATTTGTGTGGGTATAGGTAGAGTGGTTGATTAGACCGATCTTCACCACCCATGTTACCACTCACGTTAGTACATAGAAACAGTCCCTTGATCCAGGAGACACGACGAGGACGAATGTTTTGTTCCAGTATGGGACTCTTCACAAATGATTACCTATAACCCCAACACCAAGGTTAATACATCTTAAAGGTTATAAGCAAATTGTTCTTTTTTAATAACTTCAGGGTTTCTTATGGACTCCTTCCTATCAACATCTTACATGTTAATGTTTACATGCATTACAATTACATATATATTCATATATAGTTGAAATCGTGAGTCAATTGAAGCTGGACCACCATGGAAAACCTGGAATCACTGGACGGCTGTTTTGTTCTATTGTGGGACTCCTCAGTGGTAGTGCGCATCCACGATCTTGCCTCACGAGATTCGAACCCAGGACCTACCAGTCTCGCGCGCGAGCAATCAAGTGCTTCCAGGTTTTCCATAGTGATCTATCTTCAATGAACTCATGATCTCAACTCTATATAAAAATTACTAAAAATCTTCACGAATAACCCCTCCCCCCAACATATATATTCCGTTTATAATAATAACCACTATTCTAATCTTTTTTTCCTTTTCTTTTTAAGAATTTGAACGTACACATTATCCTGATTTAATGATACGTGAACAATTAGCTGAATCAATGTTAATACCAGAATCCCGAATACAAGTATGGTTTTCAAATCGTCGTGCAAAATGGCGGCGTGAAGGTAAAGAATTACATAACAATAAACAAGATCAATCTAATTCACCAAGTTTAGATGATAATAATCATAGTAATGATCAACAATATAATCAATATTCAATAATCAATAATAATAAAATACAAGATTATCCAATAATCAATAATAATAATAATCACCATCATCATAATGAACGAACCAATCAACATTCTTCTTCTTCTTCTTCTTCAATTTCTTTGTCAACTCCTTCTACTTCTACTTCTTCTTCTACCTATTATGATTATCATCAATTAATTATTCAACAAAATAAACAAAAACAAGAACATATAAATATGATTAGAAAAGAATATGGTAATATGAATTGGACTTATATGTCTACACCAATACATCATGATGTAAGTTTATGTAAATGATGAATGATGATGTTGACAACTTAATTGTCTGAAGTCACAAGTTTTTATAAGCAATGATGGATAGTGGCTAGAAGTGGAATCCAGTTTGATGCGTGTTTTGTGCTATTTGAGACTCGTCAGCTGGATGTGCCTGCATCTTAGAGTTGATGTTCACTCTGGGACTTGAACCTAGTACTGTTGGCTTCAAACACCATCATGTCATCTACTTAGCTACTGAGTCCTGATTTTTAACCAACATATTGTAAATTCATATTACACTTCATTAATCTCACTGTTTTGTTGATTAGCATTCGATCAGCACTAAGTAAGATTTTATACGCATGACATTGATCACCAACCAGTGATCAATCAATTGTGATTACATCTCAGTCCTACAGGAGTTCAGTCACGGCCCAGATATTTCAAAGGTAACATCTCTGACTGTGAAACTGGGTGACACGGGATTGAATCCATCAGGGAGCACCGGTTCCCTCAACATTACATATACACCTTGCTGACGAGTGCCATGTAGCAGGCAACCCGGGTCCAGAGTTTGCTGTTTACCACCTCCAACCACCATCTTATCATTAGACCTTACACACAGATTGAATACATCAAAGCTGTATACATAAACTTGATACAAAATTGTCTTGAAAAAAAGATGTAAATGAATACTAAGTGATTTCCTTATTCTTTTATTTTATGGTGAGATATATTAGACTTTAGCATATTCTTCCTCACAATCTAAAATCAACTTGTATATTTTTAAGTTTACATGATGAGCCAATATTAGTTAGATAACTAATAAAAATCCGTAAATATTGATCAGTTAGTTTACTTTAGTATGAAAATCAATGGTAAATATCTATGATCCCATAGGGGATCAAACTCGCGACCCATAGATCACATGGCGAGTATTTAACTTCCAGATCATTAAACTGTCATCTATTAATTTTTATCCATAAGTCCAATTGATTCGTGACACTGAACAATCATTTTCCATTGCCTTATCCTTCACATAAGTGTCGATTCAGCCTCTAATGTTATCGTATATGAGAATAGCTGAGGATTCCAATCTTAGGATGAAATTGCTATCTAATGCCTCCATGTTCTTAATGACTGTCTGAATAAGTTTAATCCGTAATGCAAACTATAAAACTCAGTAGCTTCTCAATTCCCCTGTTGTTCGAAGATGATAGAAATATTGATCTTTCATTATTTTAATCACCACAATACATGAACTATTTCATTACCTCGTAGTTCAGATTTGTTCTTTAGTTAAATAACTTTTTTTCTGGTTAGCGTTTTTATTAGCGAGTTAGTTTTTCTACGGGATGGGGTCGCTAACCCCATACCCAATCCTCTTCCTTTATTCGGGCTTAGAACCGGCAGTAGCTCCCGGAGGGGTTACAGCTAGAGTTGTTTTCTTTAGTTAATGAACATTATTTCAATTGCTTAAAATATTTTTTTTTGTTATTTCCCTAACTAATTTTTAAGCTTCCATCACCTAAAAAACTATTCAATTATTCTGAACCATTTGATACCTTAAATGATATACCGCGCAATTCAAATTCAATTTCTAATCATGAAACAGGAACTTATACTATTTTAAATGATGTAACACGTTTAAATTCATTGACCAATACTCATTTAAACAAATTAAAACATATAGATAGTTTAAGTGAAAATGGCTTGACAACAAAAATGGATATAAACAATACCATTACATTAACTAATCATTATAATGATACAGATCATAATGATGATCTAGATCAAAGACATATACAAAATATTAAACATGATCGTATATCAATGATAAATTCAGATTTTACTAAACTAAACTGTTTATCCTATAATAATCATTCATTAGAGACAATTAATTCCGAGAATACCATTACAAATAATCATAATAGTGATCATAATCATATAAGTAGTTTAATGAGTAGTATAAATACATTAAATAGAAATGATTCATTTGATCTAACTTCAAATCAAGAAAGACAAATTGATATAGAATTAATTGATAAAATACAATCAAATCAGCTAGATTATCAACCAATATGGTTGAATTCAACAGATCAAATACATAATTATAAAACAGATTCAATAAATCCTACATTATGGTATGGAATGACATATCCTCAACCAAGTACATTATCTACTGATTCTGGTATTGGTTCACCACCACTCCCACCACCACCATCATCATCATCATCATCGTCTATGCTGTCTAATAGTGGTATCATTGGTAAATCACATATATCTATTGGATATGATAATGGATCAACTAATTGTCTATTACCACAAATACTTCCTGATACATCATCTCAATTATCTTCTATGGCTGTAGCAGCTGCAGCGGCTGTTGTAGCTTGGAATAATAACAATAATAATTCAAATTTTATTCACAATCAAACCGCAACACCTAAATTAACAATAACATCTAATGAATATGATGTCATATTGAATTCTCATGAATCTACACCGATTAATTATGGATATTTAGATAGAATTAATTCAGAATTTAATACTTCTACATCTTCAATGTGTGCACCACCTTCATGTTGTTCTACTTCCACTTCTTCTACTTCCACTTCTTCGTCTTCTCCGTTAGCCTCTACATCTTCATTATCCTTATCACAATCATCGACTTCTTCATGTTCTACACATAATAACAATACTATAATTAATTTTGATTTAAGTAGTATAGTTGGTCAAACCCCTCATGTAAACACCAATACTAATGCTGATAATACTGATAATAATATAAGTAGTATGAATAACAGTTATTATGATTTTTCACGTTATTTTCATTAATTTATAAAAAAAATGGATGGAAAAAGAGAAAAAATATTTCGTTTCATGCTTATTGTACTTAGTTACTTACCTTCTTATCTACCTACTTACCTACTTCTTATCTTGTTGCACATAAGTATCTAATGTTTACACACAATATTCCAGTTTTTTTTTGGTGCAAATATTGAGTTACACTTTTGTAATTGTACACTCACAGATTGATATGTATCTATGTGGAAAGGGGGGTATACTAAAAAAGAAGAAAAAAGAAAAAAATTATTTTGTTGTAAAGAAAAACAAAAAAAGGAAAAGAAAAACTAAATTTGTACATAGTAACAATGAATTATAAATGTGATAGAATAGCAATTGTGAAATGATGCGGTTTCTCTCTTTTTTTTTTCGTTTTCCATTTCATTTAATTGATAAATTGAAAAACATAACTTTTTCACTTATATATATATATCGCACCTTATATCTAAATGGGTCTTGAACGAATGAACACTCACATTGTAAGCAAAAATGGAAAGTGACTAGCAGTGGAATCCAGTTTGATGCGCGTTTCATTCTATTTGGGACTCGTCAGCTGGATGTATCTGCATCTCAGAGTTGGTGCTCACTTTGGGACTCAAACCCAGTACTGTTAGCTGCAAAATTCGTCGTGTTATCCATTTAGCTATTGAGTCCTAATAGCCACCTGCTTGTATGATGGGGTGAATTTTAAATTCACATGGTGTTGTTGACTTCTATCTTTCCATTATTATTTAAGACTGTAATTGATCAGTCTTTTGTTGGTATATGTGCATCCTGTGTGGACTGTTTCGATATTGCCTGAAATCACAAGCTTTTAAAAGTAAAGATGGTTAGTGACTAGAAATGGAAACGAAGACGCGCATTTCGTCCTATTTGGGACTCGTCAGATGAATGTACCTGTATCTCAGAGTTGATGTTCACTGTGGGACTGCAACCCAGTACCGTTCACTTCAAACGCCATCACGTTATCCACTCGACCAATGACTCCTCATAGTCACTTGCTTGTGCGATGGGGTGAAGTTTGAATTCACTTAGTATTACTTGTTTGAATCTTTCCATATGCCAATAAGAGAGTGACCAGTTGTAGTCCTAAACGTCAATGGGCAGATTCAAGCAAGAAATACTAAGTGAAATGAACAATCTGTTATTGGTTTTTAAGAACTTCATGTATTGCAATGACTATGAGACCTTAAGACAAGTATGGAACAAGTATAATGAAAAGTTATGTGAAGTAGTGAGTTATTCAATTCACAAGAGAGAAAGATATAAACTCTTCATCGATCCTGGATAATTGTTTTATGTGACTACGTTTGTAGAGTGTACTTCATTAGATTCCCAACTCGTAGCCTTTAGGCTTTGGGTATGAATCCTAATCAATGTGGAGTTGTGTTCTTAGTTTTCAATATTTTCACATTTGATATCAATCAATGATGACAGATACCTCCAAATGATGCATCATCATTACTCGAAAAAAACCTCTGATATCCATAACTTAAGTGTAACGGGTGTTTAAAATTAATTTCTGAAATATCAGTTGTCTTATATTTCATTGTGTCAGATATGAGTAGAAATCGGAATTGTCCTGAAAGGTTTCAATAATTTGAAGACAGAATAATTCTAAGATGGTGGTTGGAGGTAGCTAACAGGAAACCCTGAACCTAGGTTTCATGCTACTTGACACTAGTCAGCAAGGTGTACCTGTTATATTTAGGTAACTGATGTTCCCTGACGGACTCGATCCTGTATCACCCAGCTTCACAGTCAGAGACGTTACCACTGAGATATCTTGGCCGCGACGGACCTCCTGTAGGACTGAGATGTATTTAAAATTGATTTATCACTGGTCGGTGATCAATGTCATGTATGTCAGATACTTCTTAGTGCAGATCAAATCCGTGCTTTTATACCCGCGCATGCCCTGGTACGGTCGACAGTAGGGTGAGTCAACACATGAAATCCAGTATCGTGAGGGAGAAAAGGTGTATGAACCCGTTGTTGATCGTCAGTTACCATGGTCTGCATCTCGTGACGTTGCTCCACTGTCCTAAGGATTAGACGTCTAGGTCAAAGGCTTGGAGTGTAGCTCCCTTAGAAAATCACCTGCTTGGTTTAGGGTGCCCGGCAATATATCAGCCCTCGCAAAATTAACATCAATAGCTCCAAATCCCTGAGTCTTATCTATTAGGTTACCGTGTCACTACAAACACAGACTTATTCAATAAGAATTATATTCTGTTAATACTCGTAAAATTATGTATGTTAATATATTCAAAAGTGCTATATACGATCCAAATTATTACCAAGTTTTAGGAATCAGATAGTTTCATGTAATCAGTTTAAGAATCCCATCTGCGAAACTGACCTGTTTAATAACACTCTACTGTATGAAAACATTTTTACTAATCTTAGGGTGTTGCAAATAGAATAATCAAGAAATATAGCAAGATCTATTTCAAATTCCCTATAAGTCAACAACTTCAGTGACTCAATTCATAAATTGAACTATCATTAATGATTAGAAAGCATTGTACAAAATAAATCGTATAACTCTGTCATAGATCGAACCAAGAGTCTTCAGGTTGATTAGTAAGAGATTAACCATTGGATAATTGAGTTATTTCATATTTTGTAACTTTAATCCATTCATAACAAAGATCGATTGTATACCAGAGAGTAAAGTGAATATTATCAGAAAGGGGTTTAGTGGAGATTTTTTGTAATTTTATAGATGAGATCATGAGTCAATTGAAGCTAGACCACTATGGAAAACCTGAAAGCACTGGATGGCTGTTTCATGGATTGGTTGAAATTAGACATTAACACCGTTGAATTCCGGTCAGCTCAGTGGTCTATCGGTTAAGTGATATGGCGCGAGACTGGTAGGTCCTGGGTTCGTATCTCTTGAGGCAGGATCATGGATGCGCATTGTTGAAAAGTCCCACAATAGGACGACACGGCCATCCAGTGCTTCCAGGCTTTCCATGATGGTCTAGCTTCAACTGACTCATGATCTCATCTATAAAAGTGAATATTCTAAATAAAAAAAAGAGGAACTTTGTTGTCTACTTTGTAAATGACTTGAAATATCTTCATTCTTCTATTTTTACAATTAAGAAAAAACTTTATTTATATAAATCATCTTAATAATACTGTCATGATTTCTTTATTACACTAATGATCTGAAAATTAGATCATCCCTATTTGTGTAAATCGTTATAGTTACGTGTGTGTGTATGTGCGTGTGTATGTGTGTGCTTGTGTGTTACAAATCATCTCCTCTAATACAAAATTTCTACTTCAACCTCTACTGTTCACAACGTAGTTACAATGTGAAAGAAAGAAAGGAGAAGAAGAAGAAACAAGGGAAGAAAAAAAAGAAAAAAAAGTTTTTTTATAAGCAAAACTTAATACAAGAATTAGTAGCATAGAATGATATAAATAAATATACAAACATCATATTGTTTGTATGTACAATACACCTACATACATAAATACATAAACACACACAACATAATTGGAAACCAGTTAACTAAAGGAATATTAAAACCGCAGTATAAGCAGAAATAAGGAAAAAAGTCGTATCTTTATCTCCACCCCCTTTTTAATATATGTATATATACATATAAACATACATACACAGATATACATACCCTCATCCCCTCTTCAAAAAAAAAAAGACAACAACTAATATCTCTTCCGCCTCATTTGTCAATTTTCCGCAACATTGCGCACCAATCATAGATAAGGTCAGATGATTAAATATTGAAAAATTGAAAATTAAATTAATGAAGATCATTAAATTACTTTACTACTTATTATATGATGACTGGTCAGATGATAACCTGATATTTTTCAAGCCAAACCACTATTATTAATACTATGAGTAATAATAATAGTAGTATCTGTTTATATAGGGTATAATCAATCATTTACCAAGCCATACCTTTTCACCCTAATAAAACATTTTTTTAAAAAACTTCAGAAAATAACATAAATTCAATCATAGTTCCCAAGTCATCAATACAAACACACATATATGTAGACTATATAATTATCCAAAATATTGAATAACGAGGTGTATGTGTCTAGTAGATTAGGTAATATGTATATGATTCTATCCTTTGAAACCTTCTTGATTGATTAAGCGTTTGCGAGCGAAATTTATAGGTCCTGGGTTCAAATCGCAATAGGAGCGATCGTGGATGAGCACTGCTACTGAGGACTTCCATAATAGGACGAAACGACAGTCCAGTGTTTACAGGTTTTCCAAGGTTATCTAGCTTCAATTGACTCATGATTTCAACTTTGAAAAATACTGAAATCTCCACAAAACCCTTTCTGATTATAATCAAATTCTCACTAGTGACTGACTTCAAGATACATATCCTGGGGTTCTAGTGAGAAGCAGTGACCAGTAGAGCTCAACCACGTCTTTTGTGAGATAACTCACTGAAGACAATTAGTGAACGGTCGCTCAAACCTCGTGGATTGGTTGAAATTAGATATCAACACCTTTGGATGCAAGCCGGCTGAGTGGTCTATCGGTTAAGTGCTCTGGCTCGAGACTGGTAGGTCGTGGGTTCGTCCCATAATAGGACGAGTCGGCCGTCCAGTGCTTCTCCGTTTTCCATGATGGTCTAGCTTCAAATGACTCATGATTTCAATTATGAAAAATTATTATTATTATTAGCCTTATTTAATATTATATTTTTAGTACAACATAGAATCCTCAGAACTAAGAATTTCAACAGGTTTTTTAATTCTTGGTCGACCCTGACGATAAATATTGAGTGATCGCCAGTTAGAACTTAGCAGTCCAGTAAATCGACATCTGAATATTGCCAGCAACTATGATGTTTCTGTGCTTGTTTTGTTGACTTTTCATAAAGACACCTGAATAGGTTAACTGGCTAGTAGATACAGTGATGTGTTAAAGCCCCCAAATGCCCTGGTACGGTCGAGATTGGGGCGAGTCCGCTCCCCCTCTCGAA